GGTCAATTGAAAAAAAATCCAATGACCTCATCGGGACTTGAAAGTGCGATATCATTTATATCTACAATTCTTGTTACACATATTTTTCGATGTATTAAATAATTAACGAAATATAGGAAAACATTTTGAAAACTGTTCAGGATATCAAAAGATAGGCTGGCCATATGGAAAAGGTTATTTGGGCCCTTAAAACGAAGCAACTAACTAACTTCATCGACCTCAGCACTTCTTGAGAAGCCGCCAATTATGTAGCTAATCAAGAAGTTCCCAAAACTTTAAGGAACACGAAGGTTCATTACAGTGTTCACAACAGCCCTCCACAGATCCCTATTCTGAGCCAGATCAATCCAATCGATACCATCCCATCCTACCCATCTAAGACCCATTTTAATATTGTTAAGCCACATACGTCTTGATCTTCCTAGTGGTCTAATTCCTTCCGGCTTTCCTACCAATATACTACATGCATTCCTCTTCACTCCAATTCGTGCTACATGCCATGTCCACCTCATCCTCATGAATTGATCATTCTAATTATACGTGGAGAAGAGTACAAGTTATGAAGCTCCTCATTATGCAGTTCTCTGCAACCTCCTGATACTTCATCTCTCTTCGGTTCAAATATTCTCCTCAGCACCCTGTTCTCAAATACTCAGTCTATTAAAACGAACCAAAATAAACCGAAATGAAAACGGTGGGACAAAAATTTGTATAGGCCCAGCGTATCACTTTTCATCCATATCGGCCTCACAATCTTATTTGCGGATGAACGGGCAGAATAAAAAGAATGGTTGAGCACCGAATTTCTTTTCGAAATTCATGAAAAAGCAAAGCGTATATGGGAAGATTATACACGTATAACACGGAGCATTTTCCAGATTATAGAGCTCGAGATTTCTGTCTTTCCGTCTCCTAATTTATTTTTGTAAAGTAAAGTAAAGCTATCCCTGTAACAGGCCATGAAGGCCCATAGGGTTGTGAGACGTTGAGGGTTCCACATTATCTAGACAATCGGCTCAAAGATGGCGGTAAATTTGTCAGCCTTACGCGCCGACCGCGCTTAACTCTCCAGGAAAATTATTTAATTAATTCCTGGTACTCATTTCTGTTAGAGGCTGAGTCGACCGCAGGGCCTAGTGCGGCTGGAAGGATTAGGTCAATTGAAAAACATCCAATGACCTCATCGGGACTTGAGCTCGCGACCTACCGGCTTGTAGCATAGTGCCTCAACCACTACGCTACCGCGTGCCGCCTATTTATTTATGTAACTCAGTATTATATACAGTAATTGATGACCTTTGTGAAATCTGGTATGAAAACCATGCCACTACAGATGAGTTCATATCGATATTCTTTAATTATTTTGTTGTCGGTCATACTATATGTTGTTGTCTCGTCAAAAAAATACAGGGAAAATTCATGACATAAAGACAGGAAACAGATGTTTTGAAAATGTGACATAGTTCATATATTTGGAACGACGATAACAAATCAAAATCTGATTCAGGAAGAAATTAAGAGGCGATTGAACTCGGGTAACGCTTCCTACCATTCAGTCCAGAACCTTTTGTCTTCTCCTCTGCTGTCCAAAAACAAAAAAAATTAGAATATACAAAACTATAATTTTGCCTGTGGTTCTGTATGGGTGTGAAATTTTGTCTGTGACATTAAGGGAGGAACATAAACTGAGGGTGTTTGAGAATAGGGTGTTGAGGAGAATATTTGGACCGAAGAGAGATGAAGTGACAGGAGGTTGGAGAAAACTGCACAATGAGGAGCTTCATAACTTGTACTCTTCTCCAAGTATAATTAGAATGATCAAGTCAAGGAGAATGAGGTTGGCAGGGTATGTAGGATGAATGGAGGAGAAAAGGAGTGCATATAGGATGTTGATGGGAAAGCCAGAAGGAAAGAGACCACTGGGAAGACCAAGGCGTACGTGGGTGGACAATATTAAAATGGATCCTCGAGAGATAGGATGGGATAGTATGGACTGGATTGATTTGGTTCAGGACAGGGACCAGTGGATGGCTCTTGTGAACACGGTAATGAACCTTCGGGTTCCATAAAATTCTGCGAAATTCTTGAGTAGCTGGAGATTTGGTGGCTCCTCAAGAAGGGCTCAGCTCCATAAGTAAGTAAGTTATCGATTACACTAACACGGCAGTCGTGAAAATTCGCAGGCTGAAAAAATTCATATCAAAATAGAAAGTTCAAATTTAATATGACTATAGGGTTATCAGAATTATGTATCTTCCACTGGGATAATGTTCAGGAAAACTGGACAGCATTTTATGGTGTAGTCCATGGACATATTTGTCGCAGATCGCTGTGCTGTGGGGAGTCGAAATTAGATCGATGCTGTGGTGAGAGAAAAATTATAAAATTCGAGAAAATGGCAAGGATTCGAATTCAATTTTGATATTATACTCCTTGTTGAAAAGTATTTGTTAGCTGTACTGAGTAAACCGCGAACAAATTACAACACATTGCAAATTTTGAATGTGTGATAATCCGAATCTCTGTTGAAGCTATAATATTGTGACAACGCCATCCATTGTTAGACAATGGCATGGTAAACACGCTACGCCATGATTAAACAAGGAGCCATTGCTACGCAACGGTCGGTAATGAAGGACGATGACGCGGCGTCTTCATGCGATCCTCGCCGAAGCTATATAACTAGACCATAGAGGAAAGTGAGGGCACAGCCATGGACAGAAGGTCGTGAGATGCAGTTATGAGTTAGTTAGCAGACATTCGGCAGCTGAATTACTCGGTTGTGAGAAAGTCGCCAGTATGCAGGTTGTCTGTTACCCCTGCTCGGCAGGAAAGGGATCGGCTGCCGCTGAATGTCCTGGCAGTCGTTTTCCAGTGTCTGGCTGCTAGGAAGACGGCTTGCAGTACGACGGCCTTCATGAAGGCTTCGTTAGCCGTTTTCTCGCCTTCCAGGAGCAGCTGTACTTTTATGGCTGGGCCTCTTCACCATCGTGAATGCCCTGCCTTCTTCCCTCCTTAGTTGTTCCTCGGGTAGTCTGGGATAGGTACGGTGGATCAACTGTTTGACGGCAGTGGCAATCTCTTGCAGGGCCTCGCCAACCCACTGCTTCCTTGTCTACAGCTGAATGCGGTACGCTGAGGCCAGGGGCTGGTCCCCAAATCTGCCTCAAGGGCCTCGATGATCTAATACGTCTCTTCTTTAGGGATTTCCTGAAGGACGTCAGATGCCCGGCCCTGCAGGTCGGTAAGCACGTGGATGGGTTATATCATCTGTATCTTTTCTTCATTGTTTGCCGATTCTGTGGCCTCAGTTTCTTCCATACCAATCTTAATTTCGGCTCTCATCTTTCCATAGTCGCCTTTTATCGTGGTCTCCATCTTCCCTGGACAGGCCTCGCCACTCCTAGACAGGCCTTGGCTACTGTCTCCTCTTGGCAGGCTTTCAGCTCTTCTTGGTTGGCTTTCATTTCAATCACATTCAATGTGATATACATAAACATTATGTCCTTTATATTTAGTATCTTTCCAGACGTCCTACCTTTCTTCAATCAGTCGGTCTGTAAGTTAAAATTCTTTGATTGCCTTACTTGGGTCCTTTCGCCGAAGCTAGGAGTGCCACACATAATTCTGTTCTGGATTATTTCTTTAGGTTTTAATTTCACTTCGTATTGTATGGTCATATACGGTCATGAAGATTATAACCGGAAACATCTCTTGATGTTCCATTTTTTGCTGAGCTAATCTTTTGTAATGAAATGGATTATCTCTTATGCATACACGTATTTATTTATTTGGAAGGAATAGGGATTTAGTAGTAAGTACTAATTGAATATTTCAGTTTATTTGTTATACACATATTCGATCAAACTTGCTGTGGCTGAGTAGAACCGAAACCCACAGGCTGTGAGATGATAGCTAATGTAGTATTAAGAGCCGAGTCAGCAAGTCTAAGCCACGTGGACTTCCTGTACAGCAGGTTTAGAGACGCATGTAGCGGTGAGAGCAAAGTCCAGAACGAAGACGGTTATCTTAAGAAGAGAAAACGAGACAGGGACTAATTATCCAATTGTAACTTCTGTTACAGTGGGCCTTGGGGGTAACCGTTGTTACTTTCAGGATTGATCAGAGAGGAAGTAAATGACATTTCTTTGGTAGAAACCAGTGGTCAGATCAAAAACGAGACTCATCTTCCAGGGGGGAGCCGATAACCCTAAGTGGCCTAGACGAGAGCTGGCTGACCACAGGCCTCCACAGTGACGAGCAGAAACATGGTGTCCTCGTATTTTCCAACATTTTGTAAGTAGAGATCTGTCTTGGTCACAGCCAGGCTTGGTAACTTAAATAAGTAAGAGAGGTACTTACACCCCTACCAGATTGAGTTAGATCAGCTATGTTATTCTTTTACTAATGTAAGTAAGTGTTATTGTGTGTTGTTTGGTTAGAACAGAGAAAGGTATTTTATTGATTCGGGAAGGGCCTTCTATAGGGATGACTCCTCGAGCAGGTACCCTATAGAGCACCCCTCCTGGCATCATAACACTTTCTTCTGTTAGCTCAATTTAAATCCAAAATTTCATCTTATATTTTAATGCTGCTACAGACAGAAATTTGTAAAATTGTAACTATGCTTTTTTTTTTTGGTTGATTTCTTAGGGATCCACTGATAGTGCAGCACCTATTCTGAATTTCATGCAGTTTATTAACTAAGTCCTTATCATGATCTTATTTATACATGCTCGACAAATTTCAGAAAGGGAGGGACGACTTCTAAAGTGAATCTCTGAATCAGTCACGTAACAGATATCTCTGATAGACCCGTAATACTTATAATTAACAAGTTTACATTGAAATTAGAGAGTTGTGTGACTTGTCAGTTGAAGGATATTGAATACAAGGGCTGGCGGAGGGGGGATATTTTCCTGTGGTATTCTGAAGGTCATGAAAAATAGACTGGAATTTCAATACGGCAAACCATTCACACAGTAGTTAGCCATTAACGACGTGTTACGTTGTGGCTTTCTTAATAACAGAGGAGAAAAAACAGAGCTTCATTAGCGGCAATATGGATCCCTGCGCCATGGGCAGCTCGAACCAGCTAGTCCTCTCGGTATCTATTTATGTATCTATTGATTAGTTTGTACATATATTTATTTATATATAAAACCTAAGGCTAGCCAGGATATTAAGTGTTTCCGCAACTGAAAGCTGTGGAATTAGTCACAGGATTGTCTGCCAGACAGAAATGCAATATCAACCTTTGCCGAAAACGAATATCTAGTCATGATTAAATATATATTCAGTGAAGTCATCATTTAAGGTATGTAAGAGTGGATGAAAGCCGGTCACGGTAGCCGAGCGGTCTAAGGTATGTACTGTCTTCGCTCGCTTGGAAACCGGGATCGTGGGTTCGAATCCCACTCAGGGCATGGATGTTTAGTTTGTGTGTGTGCGTTTTTCTGTGTTTGTGTACAGGTAGAGGCCTTGAGGCGAGCTGATCACCCGCCCAAGGAGTCCTACCGAATGTGTAAGATCTAGAAAAACCGAAGTGAACTGAGAAGTTCATGGAGGTAGGCCTAGGCCCACTGGGGTTGTAGTGCCAAGGACTATGTGTGGAAACGGCAGCTAGAGATAGGAATTTGTTTGTAGTTAAGTATTTTTGTGCTAATGAAGAATGCAACTCAAGATAGTGTATTAAGAGGGAAAGTTGTATAGTAGGCATTCAATTACATATAGTAATCATAACATAATTATTCTGCGTTTCACTATCTCATAAAGCGGAATATTTATAAATAAACCACACGGGGCATTAAATATATTTCATTTTCTTCAAAATTTTCATTCGAAAACTTTTCGCACCGATAAATATTGTGGTACTTGCTTGCAAGATTTGCCCGATATGCCCGCTGGTAGGTCTTCTTGTAAATGTCCATCATTCAATTGATTATCAAGTTGCTACGTACGACAGACGGGCAGAAACACATAGCGAAGCTAACAAGCGCAATTTTTTTAACTTTTAATTGCGAATGAGCCTTATCTATAGGCTTATAAGAGCACCACGCCACCTGCGTGTTTTGGCCTTTATATTTAAACTTTTCAAACACTTGAGCGATTTAAAAAAGTGTATGAAAATTATTCCATTTCGGGCGATCCTAACCCCAGAGTTGCTAATTTCCTACAATTGGTAATAAAAAAGGCGGACGCATGTAAGTGTGAGCTGCAGGCTACAACAGAACCACTTAATCTGAGGTCCTGAACAAAGGCTATGTATGGCAATAGATCTTCTAAGAATACGCAATTAGTGTTCCGGTAATATTACTGTAGACAATAAGATTACGACATGGCGGCCATGAAAATATTTCCTTTGACTTTCGATTCGATGGCAGCAAATATTTTTTTATTGCTAGTGGTGTGGGACTAAGTCCCTTGTACTGCGGCCACTTCTGTACCAGCCCCAGATGATAGGTGAGGGTGATTGTGGAGCAATGGTGGAATGAAGATTGGCAGGGGAAACCGAAGTACTCGGAGAAAACCTGCCCCAGCTCCTCTTTGTCCACCACAAACCCCACTTGACAAAATCCGAGATCGAACCCAGGCCTCCCCGGTGGGAAGCCAGCGACTAACCGCTTGAGCTATGGCGCGACCATGGTGGCAAAAACGAAGAGCTGGAACTAGGAATGTGAAATTTGATATAGAGATAAATTATAAACATACATATTCACTATAAGTTCTTATATGAAATGTTGTTTTTAAGTCAACAAATATAATCATGGAGACAATGGGCAACGTTAAGTTTATATTCCACAAATTTAACGTAGATAGACTCTGTACTTTGGAAATTAGTTATTAATAAAAATAAAATAAAATAAAATAA